GCTTGTCGGAAACGAGTTTATCGAAAGTCTTGCCAGCACGTGATTACTGTTGGCATATGTAATTGCTCCAGCTAATCCACTGTTTTCTCATCCCAAAAAATTACCGGGAAAACTTATTTTTACACCGCTACGTTTTAAAAAATCCTATTTCTCGAGAGTTCAAAATCTTATACCCCGAAAGTTCAAAATCTTCTTTTTCCAGAGCTAGTTTACCTATTAAGAACAGAGGTAAGGAATTTGAGAGGCATATCAGTGTTTTTCAGCTTTAGAGACAGAAACAGTTAGACTGGCATCCCGTGTTACTCGATGTTACTTGATACAACCAGACAGAGTTATATCACGGGCCTTCTCTACTCTTCAACTCTGTGAAGTACGTTTGCTTTCGGAGGTCATACAAATATTCAATTTTTGTATCGTGAGGTCTAATGGATTTTATTTTTTCTGCAGTAAAAACAGACTCGTAATAAATTTTGTTCAAAAAAAAAATCCCCTGAATTTTATGTTTTGATAAAAAACTAACGCAGTTTCTGTAATTCCGCTTGGTTTCGGCTCGACAATGTTCACTTCAAATGGACTGTCTAAAAACAAAAGCAGTTTGTCATGCGTGCATCAAGAAACCATAAAGTGATAAAAATCCCTACCGGGCTAAAAAGCCATTCACTCTTTAAAGTCAGACTGACCGCACAAATGTTCAAACAGTTGCTCTTTTCATGTCTTCTGACCATACGACAACACTGATTTTTTTTTGTTTTCTTTCGTTCATTCCCTGTCCGCTTCAAAATCGGATCTGTCTGATTCGAGAACCGCTTGAAAAGCGGGTCCGCTTTACTTGGAAGCTGCTTGAAAATTGGGTCTTTCTTTTTTCTCTCGACGGATTGGTACGCCTCATCGTCAAAATTGTGCAGACAATGACTATGAGGCTTTCGTTGTTAATAAACTGCTGCTTGAAATTTGTCAGAAGCTGGTAGGCGACTCACTTTTGAGGACTTCTTTATTGAAAGTGATATTAACTGTGTGCATTCCAACAGATGTCGGGTTGAATGTCACCAAGAATTTGGCTGTTCCCGTTTCCAGTTGAGCGACATGTGATGGTATAATTACACCATCGCTATCTTTGATTGCCATTTCAAGATTTCCAAAA